TAGAAGTTTTGAATGGATTATATTCGGATGAAAGGCCATTCAGAGTGTATATCAATATGTCCTCATCATCAACATGCACAGAGGCAGCTTCTAGTTTGTCTCTTACTTCATTGACTTTCTGAATATAGCTATCAACCGAGGTGTTTCCTTTGGTAACATACTGTAACTCTTAACTTTAACTGCAAAATGTTAGATCGAGAAATGGAAGAATACCTTCTTTCCAATGCTAGCCATACATCTCTTGAAGAATTATAGCCTATGATATGTGATAAGGCTATTGTAGACAGTGTAGCACTGAGAAGTGCCATAAGAGCTTGATCTTAAGTCATCCAGGTGTTATAGGCTGGATTTATGTCTGAACTTATCAAGCCTTTATCATTGTAGTTGAATTTTTCTGGACAACTTAGGGATCCATCAATGAATCCTAAGAGAGAGTGAGCTCTGAGGAAAGATGTCACTTGAAACTTCAATTGAATATAGTTCGTTGAATCGAGCTTCAACGAGATCAGATTACTGAAATTTGAAAGCAAGTAGAATGGATTTTGCTGAGTTGTAGAAGAAGTAGGGTTAATCTCATTTTGCACTCCAAAAGATTGTTCGAATCTCAATTTGCACTCTCAAAGATCAAAAATCTCAATTTATACCCTCAAAGATAGAAATTTGTATCAATGTGCACCCCCAAAGATCAAAAATCTCAATTTGCACCCTCAAAGATAGAAATTTGTATCAATGTGCATCTTCAAAGATAGAAATTTGTATTAATGTGCACCTAAAATTAAATTAATAAATTATACCTTAATCCCCTCATGTTTGTCACTTAATCATTTGAACTCCTTTACATTTAGAATATTCTCCTTATATCTCATGACATTTATGCATGCGTAACACATAACCACTTTTCGTTGATATATATTAATATAATCGTTAAAAAATATGATTTTATCCTAATATAAAATTATAATTTTATATTACCTTTTATTTTGTGGATTCGATATACTCTAAAGTTGAAATCAAACTTATCATTTGAATGTCTAATAAAATGTAGATATTTATATAAAAGGTAATATGAAAAATATTATATAAATATATATATTTTATTAGACATTCAAATGGTAAACGAGATTTTGAACTTTATAGTATATTGAACCTATAAAATAAAGGGTAATATGAAATTATAATTTTATATTAGGATAAAATCATATTTTTTAACGATTATATTAATATATATCAACGAAAAGTGGTTATGTGTTACGCATGCATAAACGTCATGAGATGTAAGGAGAATATTCTAAATGTGAAGGAGTTCAAATGATTAAGTAACAAACATGAGGGGATTAAGGTATAATTTATTAATTTAATTTTAGGTGCACATTGATACAAATTTCTATCTTTGAAGATGTAAATTGAAATTTTTTATCTTTGGGGATGCACATTAATACAAATTTCTATCTTTGAGGGTGCAAATTGAAATTTTTGATCTTTGGGGGTGCACATTGATACAAATTTCTATCTTTGAGGGTATAAATTGAGATTTTTGATCTTTGAGGGTGTAAATTGAAATTCGAACAGTCTTTCGGAGTGCAAAATGAGATTAACCCGAAAACGTAATAGAAGAGGTTGAGGTGGCCATTACTAAGATGTTACTCTTGAATTTGGCTCTAATACCGTGAAAGAGATCATAGATCTAACAAGATGCAAAAATAGAGGAGAGAGAAACAGAAACAGATTTTATTTATTCTCAGTTAAGTTCCAATGACATTGAATGCCCTATATATATACACTTAAGTAACTCTTAACCGACTAACAACTTGTATAGTTGGCAGCTCCTAACTAACTGCCTGTGTTCTGAATTCTAGCTGGATGGTCCTAGGTTGCATCATAAACTAAGGAGGATCATGTACTGCAAGATCCTTAATACTGAATAGTCCAAAGTCAGGAGTTGATAATTATTGGAATACCACATGTCATGTGAGAATCGCACATTGAATACAAAACAAATTAGACTATTAGAAGTCTTAAAAATATCATATGGGTCCCAATCTCCCTCACCCAACCATTTTTTTCTTTCATATCTTATTCAACACTAAGTCACCTACCCCCCCCCCCCCCCCCCCCCCCCCCCCCCCCCCCCCCCCCCCCCCCCCCCCCCCCCCCCCCCCCCCCCCCCCNCCCCCCCCCCCCCAATGTCGTTGTCTGTTGAATGGATTTCTGGTGGTTGGTTACCTTATGAGGCACTCTCAACTCCATTTGTGAAGGGCCATGCAGGCATATAATAAGCTGATAACTGGTGTAGAATCTATATGCAGAGTTTGTGGTGGGGGGGGGCGGTTCTAGAGTGTTCTTATTTTTCCACCATGTCAACGCCAATACCTCTCACATTAATTTGCAGCTGAAATTGATTAATCAGAACTCATAGTGGTAGTTTGAAAATTGAGGCACACTCTATGAAATGTATTATTATTAGTAGTAGTGCTGGAATTATAGCAAGGAACTTATTGTAATTCGGAAGAGTTTTAGCTAAAACAAACTTGAAATTACTAGATATTTCATGTTGGGTAATAATTCAGATTAAAGCTAGCTTGATTTGGGGTCCAGATTTATTTATTTATCAGTTTAATGACCTGTTTGGTATTTTCTTCATACGAAGATAGGATCACGGCGTTTAGTCAAAGTCATTTAGTTATAGTTTGAGCAGAATCTAAGTCAATAACTGAAGCCCCAACGGATTCTTTGGGTCAAAGAAAACTCCCCCCCCCCCCCCCCTCTCTCTCTCTCTCTCTCTCTCTCTCTCTCTCTCTCTCTCTCTCTCTCTCTCTCTCTCTCCAAGGAGCAGATTTCTAGGGTGGCATTTTTTTCCCCATTGAAAAAGAGGTGGAGGCAAAGGGAATCACCTAAAAATCACCCCCAATAAACATTTTACTAGTGGAATCATGAGACTCTTGACCGCCATTTTTACTCCTCTCGAGAATGCATTTAGTTAGACTAGCAACTACCGAATCTCAATGTGCATTCTAAGACCCGAGCCTCCAATCTTAGGATNTTTGACCGTCATCTTTACTCCTCTCGAGAATGCATTTAGTTAGACTAGCAACTACCGAATCTCAATGTGCATTCTAAGACCCGAGCCTCCAATCTTAGGATGAGAAGTTCGACCGATACCCTACTAGTTCACCCCACATGGTGGTTCTGGGATGACATTTGTTATAATTTCCTCTCACAATAATTATATAGAACTTTCCTCAATTGAATTTCCATTTTGGAGTCTTAAAAAAGTAACTTGCATATCCATATATATATTTGAATACGGGATACAATTATGATACAATTTAGATACAACGATACGATAAAATCTACATAAATATCATAAAAAAAGGCGAAATAATAGACTGAAAATTAGGAATGTATTAGGAAAGCTATTCTGTTATTCAACGTCTCAATCTACAATAAGTGCAGACCCTCATTGCCCTGGGCGATAAGGAAACAGATTCTATAAAACAATTTATAATATTTTGGATAGAAGTAAATTGAAAATATAATTATAAACTAATTTTGCGGTGTCGGGTGGATCAAGCTATCTGGATTCAGAAGACTTGGGGAGTAATGGAAAAGGACAGGCCGATTTTTAAGACAAGAAAAAAAACCTATTATATGATTTGCTGAAATGGTCTTAACAATTATATTATTTTTTTTTTTTTATGAACACCTTCCAGGTTGTTTCCCAGTCAGTCAGACCTAGACTTGGTAGTATTCTCCACCTATTGCAATAGAAAACACAAAAACTAAACTANATTTTTTTTTTATGAACACCTTCCAGGTTGTTTCCCAGTCAGTCAGACCTACCTAGACTTGGTAGTATTCTCCACCTATTGCAATAGAAAACACAAAAACTAAACTAAGTATTCAAAGATAAACAGGATCAAGAAAGTTTAAGTTTAGATAGGAAAGGGANAAAACTAAACTAAGTATTCAAAGATAAACAGGATCAAGAAAGTTTAAGTTTAGATAGGAAAGGGGAGAGAGATCTGGAGGAGAAATATAGGTGTATGAAGAGACCAAGAGTTAATTAAGTACGGTTAAAGACGGAGTTATGAACAGTTGAAGGAGAAGAAAAAAAAAGGACATTATAGGTATTTCCTAGGTGGACACCAACCCCTCCTTCTCTTTCTATCTCTCCCCCTCTTCACCAATGTGGAAATCTGGGTGGAGTTTACATTGATTAGTTGAATTGGAGGCCAACAGAAACCCGGTATATTGGTGTCAAGTATTGGGATAAGGCTGCCTAATATTTAGCGCTCTCAACCCTATTATCGGTGAGAGCATTGTGCACTAAATATGGCATATATACGATAAAATGTATCGATAACATGAAAATAATGTAAATTACACAAAAACAAGTTCATGTTCAACAGGGTTTCCAAAACCTCAACTCAGAATCTAACTCAAGCTCAAACCTGTTCACATGTCGGTATTTCCTACTCCTAAGTTGCAGCTTAATGACTAAATCAATCAGACAAGGAAAACACTGTAACCTAAAACCACCCAAGTCATTTCACCTAGTAAACAATGAGTCTTGGCCACTGGTTATATAAATATCAGCGTAAGCACTCTTTGCTACCTTACACGTATACTTCAAACCCACCCAGACAATCACCGTTAGGTCCACATGCCACCAACCCCAATTGGAAACTGCGGTCACTCCCTATTCTATTTAAAGCCGATCCTCATAATCTCTTTCCCACAAGCATAAGCATAATAATACCCAGTGTGTCTGTGAGTGTTTTTCAAGTTGCAGTTCTTTCGTGCATCAAGGAAACAAACTGAAGAACAAGCATAGCACAATACGCAGAGTGTGTGAGAGTGTCTGCGTTTGTTTGTTCTTCAAGTTCCAGTTCTTTTTGTGCATCAAGAAAACAAACTGAAGAACAAGCATAGCACAGTACCCAGTGTGTGGCGCTGTGGGTGTTGTGATTGTCTTTCAAGTTCCAGTTCTTCTTGTGCATCAAGAAAACAAACTGAAGGACACGGACAGCACAACACTCAGTGTGTGTGTGTGTGTGTGTGTTTTTCAAGTTCCAGTTCTTGTGTATCAAGAAAACAAACTGAAATGGCAATTATTGAAATCCCAAAGAGAGAGACAGCACCTGTAATGCCGCGAAAAACAAGGGCAAGTTTCTTCTCTTTCTCTAAAACCTTGTCAGCAATCTCTTCCTTATCGATTCCTTCTTTACCTTACACGCCTTCACACACATTCTCTGAAACCATGATGGAAGAAAACATCGAAAATGCCGAGTCCATGATCACAAAATGGGATCCCAGTGACTCTTCTGAAGTCAATTTTGTCTCCCTTTTTAAAGAAAACAGAAAAGAAGGCAAGGAGTTCATCAAATGTGTCAAGGACTTGCGTAGAGCCATGCACTTTTTGGTCTCAGAGCATTCAAGTTCTGAGAAGCTCGTGGTTGCACATAAGTTGATGCAAACAGCCATGAAACGAATGGAGGAGGATTTTTACCACATATTGTCAGAGAATAGGGAGCAGTTGGATCCAGAATCTGTTTCTAGCTGGTCATCGCGCGTGTCGCAGTCAAGCAATTCAGATGTAGACGAGGATGTCGAATCAGATCATGAGATTTGGGCTGTTGGCAAATCCATATCGGAGGTTGAACGACTCTCAATGATCGCTCTGTCTGACCTCAAGTTGATTGCTGACTGTATGATTAGCTCTGGTTATGGCAGAGAGTGTGGAAAGATATACAGACTTATCCGAAGGTCAATTGTAGATGAAGGACTCTACAGTCTTGGAATTGAACAGTACAGTTCTTCTCAGATTAACAGGATGAATTCAGAAGCTTTTGAGCATCACATCAAGAATTGGCAGAATGCAATTCAGTTTGCTATAAAAACACTATTTCAGGGCGAGAAGTTTCTATGTGATCATGTATTTTCTGCATCTGAAACAATCAGAGAATCATGTTTCACATATATATCAAAAGAAGGAGCCACCAATTTATTCAGATTCCCAGAACTAGTAGCCAAAAGTAAAAGATCACCAGATAGAATTTTCAGGCTAATGGACCTGTATGAATCAATATCTGACCTCTGGCCGGAGATTGAGTCAATCTTCTCATATGAATCAATCTCAGCAATCAAATTGCAAGCTCTCTCTTCACTCCATAAACTGGGTGACACAGTCCAAACAATTATATCCGAGTTTGAGACATCGATTCAAAAGAACTCATCAAGAACTCCAGTTCCTGGCGGTGGAATCCATCCGCTGACCAATTCAGTGATGAATTACATGTCTTTTCTAGCCAATTACAGTAGAGTCCTCTCTGAAGTTGCCACCAATTTGGCATCACCAGCAAAATTGCCTTTCCCAGAATCTTACTTCGACAATCCAAACAACGAGGACAACCCAACATCAGCTGTGTCTGTCCGACTCGCATGGATCATACTGGTCCTCCTCTGCAAACTTGACAACAAAGCTGAGTCCTACAATGACATCGCTCTGTCCTACCTCTTCTTAGCCAACAATCTTCAATTTGTCGTGGAGAAGGTCCGTTCAACAAATCTTAAGTTCCTTCTGGGAGAAGACTGGATACTGAAGCATGAGAGAAAGGTGAAACTATATGCAGCCAACTATGAAACAAATGCTTGGAGTACAGTGTTCTCCAGTTTGCCGGAGAATTTAACAGCAGTTTCATCACCGGAGATGGTGAAGGGGTGCTTCAGGCAATTTAACTCCACATTTGAGGAGGCATATCGGAAACAGACGTCATGGGTTGTAACGGATGGGAAGCTCCGAGATGAGATTAAAGTGTCAATTGCAAGGAAACTAGTGCCAGCATATAGGGTGTTCTATGAGACACATTTGGCAACTCTGAGTGAGGAGAAGAATTTGGAGGTGTTGGTGAGATACTCACCTGATAATTTGGGGAATTACTTGTCAGATTTGTTCCATGAGACTGCTGCTTCCGGGAGTTCGTCGTCGTCGTTGTCGTCGTCGATGTCACGCGCATCACGGTGTCTCCCCTAGATGTTACAATACTTTGAAACAAACAGAAATTACCAGTTTCATGGTCTGTACTTCAATTTATTTCCTTTTTGTTTCATTTTATATACACTGGTTCTTATGTTTTCCATTTTCAAGGCTTCCTGAAAAAGACCAGCAAGCCATGGAGAAGTTAGTTTGAAAATGCTAGTCTATCAGGCGCATATTTCATTGTTTGTGCCTTGAAAATAAGAAACTTGACAAAAGCTTGAAAGTTAGCAGAGCAAAGCAGACAGGAACATTGATCTTGAAAACACTCAAAATGCCAAAAAGACAGTGACAGAACAAATCCTGCAACCCAACTTACAGCAAATTTCATAAGGTTAATTCAGGCAACTGACCACAAGAAGATAAAGGAACCACAGCATAATAAAATATACAAATCAATTAAGGCATCAAGAAAAATAGCAGTATGTTGTAATTGATATAGGGCAACTCACAAACCCTATCCATAAGCTATATTATCATATCAGCAAAGTACTGGGAGTCTAGCTTCATTCCGAAGGATAAAAATTGCAATTTTAAATGCAAAGAGAACAAAATGCACTAGTTTATCTAACCATTAACCATTCTAAACCAAATCTGGGCATAATTTGAAATAATTATTCAGGAACGATAATCATTCCTGTAACAGGTTCTCAAGTTCAAAGCATTACGAGACCAGAAATGTACATATACAGCACATACAAGCTAAACAAAGAAGTCATGCAGGTGCTCTGCAACCACCACCAACTTCTTCTGCTGGTCGTGGAATAGACTGCCAACCTGTACAGATTTGAAGAACAGCTTTAAGAGAATCTGAGGCAGCTTCCAGGGTCCATACTGGGTAAAACTCACTTGGATGGAATGTACATTCTTCCCCAGTTGTTAGTAAGCATGCCTGAGCTCCATTCAAAAACAAGTCCCCTTCAGACCTTATCAAACCAGACCTTGCTTCCTCCTTATCTGTTGCCTAAATAACCATCACAACAGGAAGAATTAATTAACTTGTTTGGCAGCCAGTAAAATAGAAAACACATATATTATAGCTTGGCAAAAACGAAAAAACAAACAAACATATCAGAAAACAGCAGTATCAAGATTTTTTAATAGACATCCTCCAGGAACAGTTAAAGTTATCATGGTCAACTGTATATGACAAGCCAATTGATAAACTGGTGCCTCATAGGGAAACCATATTTTTCTGGGTGACATGCCAATGCTTCTATCTGACTTCATGATACGGGTCGGTTGCTCACGAAATGAACCATTAAGTAATCATCGATCAATGGATCCGCACTGTGAAAGCCACAATGATTGGACATTGAGTTAATATTATCTTTGTGACAGATCTCAATGATTTTACATTCTGGATTGATGCCAAATCGGTCATAGAGAGAGTTCATGAGTATCCTGTAGACATAAGACATCCCACCATTAGAGCTTTTTGCCTCCAGTCTCTTCTCGTAGTGGTTAGAGATAAAACCCCCGAATGGAGAATCTTTCTTCTCAAAGAGGTAGCCCTTGAGGAGTAGGATCTTGTACCCTAGATCGTGCATACTTGAGTTCCTCGCTAAAGTAGACACCTATGAATCTACCCGTTGGGAAGAGCAGTCTCTCATGCTCCTTATAGGGTAGGAATGGTATCTTCATGCTTGGACGGAAGACAACATAGGCCTCAATTAATCCATATAAGCTGTCCAAGTCCTAGTCTAGAAGATCCCTTTTCCAGACTGGGACACCCCCAGGCATCAGTGATGATTCCATAATAAATGGATATAGGGAGTTCACGTCATAGTGGTATAGATTCTCACCATAGGGTTTATACATATCAGCATGACCACCATAGTAACCTTCCAAATGAATTTATCCTCATTCTTGCTGGGTAGATGGATCGGGAAGGTATTCCATGTGGTTATTTCAAACACAACCCCTTTTTCATTCTGCCCATTGTTTGTGGCTAAATGGTTCAAAACAGGTGATAGTGGCCCACTGATGGGGATCGTCGTATGAGAATTAGATAGATATTATACATTAGTTATCAGAGTTATTAAGATACTTTTAATATTTATCTTTAAGTATTTTCTTTTAACTTTTGAGGGTTTGTTTGTCATTATTTATTTATTTTAGGGTTTTAATAATCCTATATAAAGGAATGCATGTAAGGGTTTTATTTATATTAGACTTTAATTAATATTAAATACCGATATTACTTCCTTCTCAAATTCTTTCTCTTTTCTCATCCCTTTCTTCTTATCTTCTCATCTCTAATTCTTCCCTTCCTAATCTACATCACCCACTGGTTGGAGTTGCAAGCTCTAGAACAAAATAAGATGCTCTAGAGTTAGCAGACCCTGTCCAACAACCAAAGTGTCTAACTTGCTTTAAAGTTTCGGATTACCAAATTGTGGGTCCAACCATGCTAGTTCAGCTGGTTGCTTAGATGGTAGAGAAAAGTGGGAAAGGTCACATTGAATTCCCTTCAGTAGAGCATGGTTATAATTTCATAGTATTGTGTAGATTTAACATAATTGATGCACTAAAAGGGACTTGAAGTGACACAAGCAGCATCCTCAGCTGCTAAACCAATAGTGAGTTCGTGAGATTCTAGCTCATCATTCATTTATATCTTCCACCGTATCCATGTGATATACATTTTGTACTCTTAGTCTTACTGTTAGGGTTTAGGTATTAGAGATAGAGGAGAGAAAGCAGAGAAGAATTGAGAGAACCCCTACGCACCAGGCAAATCCTTTGCAAGACAAGGAGTACCATTAGAACAAAGACCCATTAGTTCATATACCATACAATTAAATTAATTGGAAAACCCTCTTATCAAAAAAACTGAAAAGCCTAGGGCGCAAGGCTCCATCTACTTAAGGTCTGCAGAGGGTAAGATGTAAACAGCCTTATCATTGCATGCGGAGAGACTGCTTTCGTGATTCGCACCAGTGATGTCCCAGGTCACAATGGAACAACCTTTACTACATATCAATTCATAAACAGTACAATCACATGAACATCCCAAACTCTTATTAACTTGGCAGACTTGATAACCTAGCACCTACTAGAAGATAAAACCTACGGTAAAACAAAAGAGCAAAACAGTTATGTAGGACAACCAAAAGAATTGTGTTATCATTTTTTTTTTCTGGTCAGGTGTGATTTTGTTGTTTATTTTATCGCATCTGGAGTGACAAATGTCCACTTGTAATGCTCAATTGTAGCTAAGACAGACAATCCAGAGACAGACTGTTTGATACTTAAGAATGATCAATATGAACAACTACGGCCCGTCTAATTTGCACCATAAATGATACTTGTTATATAGATGCATACACTGCCCTTTACAAATTGGTCTAATATTCAAAATAAGATACAGTTGTGCCGCCCTCTCTGCCAACAGAATTTAACCGAGAAGAGTATAAAACAAATCTACATCTCTTTCCACATAAGTAATATCACAGAATACTTTATACGAACAGAAAAATGGATTTAATATAATTGGTACACATGTAGAACTACATACTAGAAAGCAAATGATTGTCAAATACCTTTTCTGTATAGTATTCAAAAGTCTTTTTCTTCTGCCCAGCTTCAAAAATATTGCACTGAGAGTATATCTGAGAGCAAAACAAAAAACAAAGATATAACAGTAACACAATAAGACTGAATCCTAAAATGAGGATTGCGTCTGTATGCCCTACCAAATTTTTGATAGGTTTAGAAACCAAAACAACATTTACCTGCGATTCTACACTAGCACAAACAGCATATATGCCCCAGTTTTGGGTGTAATTATTGTACAGATGAACTTTTCCAAATCTTACACGAGGATGTCTTTGTCTTGTCCCATCAAAAAAACAGTGGTGAATGGTCACTCTAATACATCTGTCATCTATGTGAGAGGGGTCTGCTCCAATAAGCATCGTCTTGTCATGTTGTGCAAAATAACATCTGCAAGCCAAAAGTGACACAGTTCATCAGGATCCAGCATGATGTTAAATTATATTGGTGGAATATATAAGAAGCACCCACCTAGAAACAGTAATATCAGTGCTTTGTCTTGTTATGTCTATTAGTCCATCATCATAATCACGGAGGCTGCAACGATCTATCCATATGTGCCTAGAATTTGGTTTTATTTGAATGCCATCAATATCATGTCCTCTACCGCCTTCAAACTCCAGGTTGCATATGATTATATGTTCACAATTCTTCAGCCTTAAGCCTTTGCCTGTGAGTTTTATCCTTTGGCCACGGCCATCAATTGTCTTATAAGAGGACACATTCAAGTATGACGACAGATGAATGGTGCCTGAAACTTCAAAAACAATCCAGAGAGGTTCTTTTCTACGACATCCATCACGAAGTGATCCTGGCCCATCATCTAAAAACAAAAACATCGTATCAAAAGATCATAACTTGATACACAAGTCTAAAGACCTTCCTAAATCTAAACAATTTTACGAGGATGCGAAGTCCCAATTATCACCCACACCACATATGCAAGACATATATACTCCGGATTCACAAAAAAGGTCAATCTGGTGATTATGTTAATAGAATGCTCTGATTAGCTTATACATGGTGGAAAGATCTTTTTTCCCAGCTAAACTGAAATTAATTGTCAAATATATCAATATGTCGGTGCCAGATTAATAAATAAGACTTCCATTCAAATTTGTCATCAAGTCAATGGATATGTTGTAGAAAATTCATGTAGCGAGTTTATGCATGAGTGAACAGATGAAAATTTTCATTTGCTATGAACTACAGCTGACAAAAAAAATTCTGTTGCCATATGTGAAAACATCTCAGTTGGAAAAAGGTTTTGTTCAAATTTTGGCACTTTTTGAGAAAAATGTTGAAGGCACAAACAAGTACAACAAGCTTAACGTAGTTCAGAAATCCCAATAGCCGCTTTATCTTTAATATATTATCTAATGCCTGCTTCAAAGCCCATCGCATCAAACCCATTGACATCTCGCAATCAGTTCAAGGGAGAAATATATCGGCTTAAATGAGGATAACAAGAAATATACCGGTTAACATGGTGAATTCTTGTATAACTTTTTAGTGGCCTAATCTAAGTAATCCTCCGTCATATATGAGTCTCTATTGTGAACAGTTGTGGGTCATGTACTTCCAAATCAAAGGGCAGTCAACATTAGTCATGTAGGATTGTAGGCTGTATAGTAGTTGCCAATTAGTCAAATAAGTGCACGTCTTTGGATGTAAATGGGTAGCATGAGATCAATTAGTCAATTTTCCTTTGAATTTAAGTCTCTGTCGCTAGTAATAAGAACCCCGAGATGACTCCAAACCCTTGCTTTCTTTGTCAGAGGTCCAGTTGTAATCAAATTGAGCAACCATGTTTGTTGTAGAGGTATTTTCTGCTTAAATTTAATTTCACCACCATAGTTTGCAAGCGTCGTGGATGCTGATTGCTGAAACAGTATAGGTGGACATAACATCCTCCAAAACAACAGAACTGTTAAAACAAAAGTATAATGATACCTCTTTACCAAAAGCGAATTGCTCGCATATTTGGAATGCGCCTACTTTTAAACAATGAATGTCAAATAAATCTTGTGTTCAACATAAAACCTTTACTTATCAGAGACTAACCTTATGTAAGCATTTGAAACCGTTTGTCACAGATTGTGAAATTTAAACAGTTAGATAGGGAACCACTCAAAATTCTTATAGGCCCACATGGCACTCCCTACCCAACCGAGGTGTGATTTGTGACACGTTGCTTAATACCGGGGTAAATTATACACACTAATTACCACAAAATTATGTGTACAGACATGAGGATAGTCACTTACAAATCATAACAAAGGTTTAGTCTATGTCTAGTCTTCCCCTTCCATCAAACATTGACGGACCAAGCTGAGTATCGACTTTTTTGATCATATATCGGTTCAAACATTCGAATCCAATGCCATCATTGCGAATATCTTAATGAAAAATTAGCATTCAAATGCAGAATTAACTTCTAAACCCTAAGCTAATTAGAATAAATGTGTATAGAAATCTAAGTGAACAACAACAATCAAATATATAAAAGAAACATAATAAGAGGACGAGAAGAAGAGAACCGGCCAGAGTGGTGACGTAATAGAGCGGTCCATGGAGGCCGCCCACGGAGAAGCGACCGAAACCCTCGGCTCCACCGGCGATGGCTCTAAGGCTGGAATCGACGTCGGCGTACGGTAACGTTCCCATGGGGAGAGTGTAGCTATCGGTGAGCTGTGATCGTTCAGACGATTTTGGTGGGTAGTTGACGGAAAAAGCCGTTTGGGGAACGTCGGATCGAAAATTGCGCGTCGAGGGTTCACTTGGACCGTTAAACTGGCGAGAGTTCAACGGAGTTAATTATTTTAAGTATTAAAATTCGAGTGAATTAAACATTATATTTTTTTATATATTAAAATTTGAGTCGATTAAAATTTTATTTAAGTCGATTAAAAATCAGTNTAAACATTATATTTTTTTATATATTAAAATTTGAGTCGATTAAAATTTTATTTAAATCGATTAAAAATCAGTTCGAAATAAATTTTAATCGACTAACATTAAATTTTAATCCGGCCAAATTTTGATATATAAAAAAATATAAATTTTAATTAACTCAAATTTTAATACATAAAAAAATCAATTTTAATCGCATTTTAATTAACACAAATTTTAATAAGTAAAAAAATATAAATTTTAATCGACTTGAAGCAAATTTTAATCGACACTAATTGCACATGTAGAACTCAAATCGGCTCGAATTTTAACACGTAAAAAATTTAAAATTGAATCAGCTTGAATCAAAAGTTAGTTGGCTAGAATTTTAATTAAATTTTATGTAGGAAGATTATTTGGGGTTTATGTAGGGACATTTTTTGTATCTTGATGAATTTTTTTTGAAAAAATTTTATCTACACCTCCTCTAGTTAGGTCTAAATTCAATGATACCTCATCTCGATTCTGAAACATCACTACACCCCCTTTTAGTTTATACTTTCAAATTAAAAACACTCTCTTAATAGTAATTTTTAACTCCGCCAGTACAAAATAACAGTTTGACTATAAATTTTTTGAAAATGTCAAAAATATCCTTCCTTATGTAAATATATTAAAATATCTTCAATCATTTTTCGCTATATATATCATACCATTTATTATTGCTGAAGGTCAAAAATGATCTGGTGTTGCTGGAAGACATAGGTACTAAAAATCAATCATTCTTTTTCAATTCATTCTCTACAGTGATCGATCATTACATAAGTTGTTAAAAAAAAAATTATTTTTTTCTTGCAAATTTATAAATATTTTTCGTGCAATTTTTTAAAATTTTTTCATGCAATTTTTTTTTAAGTTTTTTCATGTAATTTTTTTTTATTTTTTTTTTATGTAGAGAGTTTTAATTTTTTTCATGTATTTTTTTTAATTTTTGCATGCAAATATTTTTAATTTTTTTTATGCAAATTTTTTTTAATTTTGTTTATGCATATTTTTTAAATTTTTTCTTTCATTTTATTATGTCAATATATTGTGATATATTATTATAGGGTTGATGTCTACTTCAACTGTCAGTAATACATAGGAGTGTTATCAAAATAGAACGGGACCGGCCGATGGAACTAGTTGGACCTTTAACCGGGGCCTAGACCGGTCTTGTTCATGAGTTGAGCTGCTTAGGCAATTAAACTGTCTGTTAACCGTTACACCAGCCAATTTTGCTTTAAACCCATGAACCAGACGAGTTCTTCAAACTAGGCGGTTCGAATTTTAAGGAATAAAAAAAATTAAAATTAGTTTTTTAGGGCAATTTTGCCTCAAATCGACTTTGATCAAATCGTCGGTGTGCAGTTCGTCACCTTCTTTATACGCGGTGCAGAGGCAGCCAGACGCCGAGGCCCTCTTCGAGTCACCTTCTCCATATACAGTGCAAAGGTAGCCAATCGCAAAGGCCCTCTTCGAGTCTTCCTCTGCTATACTTCAAGTCTTCCTCAGCAGCAGTCTGTCTCCCTCCGTCTAGATGGGATGACCGTTAACTCTTCTTATTCTTCTCCTCTATCTCAATCTCAACCCCTCTCTCTCTCTCTCTCACTCACACACACACACACAAAACACAACACATAAACTCTTGACGGAACACACACATTTAACAATACTATAATATTGTTAGTATAATTATCTCGAAAAGGCCATTACCTTGAGAAGGCAAAAAGGCATCAGCAAGTTGTTGGTTTTTTTTTTTCATGGAATAATGTATTTATGGTGTTAATTTTATGGTAAAGTGTATANGTCGATTAAAAATCAGTTCGAAACAAATTTTAATCGACTAGCATTAAATTTTAATCAGGCCAAATTTTGATATATAAAAAAATATAAATTTTAATTGACTCAAATTTTAATACATAAAAAAATCAATTTTAATCGAATTTTAATTAACACAAATTTTAATAAGTAAAAAAATATAAATTTTAATCGACTTGAAACAAATTTTAATCGACACTAATTGCACATGTAGAACTCAAATCGGCTCTCTCTCTCTCTCTCTCTCTCACACACACACACACACACACACACACACACACACAAAACACAACACATAAACTCTTGACGGAACACACACATTTAACAATACTATAATATTGTTAGTATAATTGTCTCGAAAAGGCCATTACCTTGAGAAGGCAAAAAGGCATCAGCAAGTTGTTGGTTTTTTTTTTTCATGGAATAATGTATTTATGGTGTTAATTTTATGGTAAAGTGTATATATTGTGGACATGTTTTATATTTTTTTAATTAAATTATTATATTTTATATTTTTAATTTTATATTATATAACAGATTCGATCAGTTAACTCAACAGTTAAATTAGTGAACCATTGACTCGGTACTCCTACCGATTCGATGATCGGTTCGATTTTGATAACATTGAGACAAAGACAGAGATTAATGTCTATGTCAAAATCTCATCTATTTCCAACTCCTTTGTCATCGTCTGTCCGTAATAATGTCATCTGATCACTCTTTACACATCACCCTTTATATATAAAATTTAAATATTTATATAATACATCAGCTTGGTGTTTGAACTTTTGGGGGTATATTTTTTCCTCCAATTTTTACACACCCAACACACACTTTCCCCCCTCCCCCCAAATTCAAAAATTCAACACACACACACTCTATAACATACAGTTACACACATATATACATGCTTCAACACACAAATTCCAATGCATGCATAATGTTATAATTCGGTGTATAGTGACTTTAGTCATGAGGTTATTGCTAGTTATTTGATAAAATTTATAAATATTGAATAAATTTGATCTTAATCTGATAAATTTAAACATTAATTTGGTTTTAATTTGATATTTATATTCAGTATTGATTTGATAAAATTTAATATTAATTTAATAAATTTAAATGTATCTTTAATGAAATTGAATGTTCATTTAATGTTAAATTAAATAACTGACATTAATTTGATAAGGATAAATGTTAAATTAATGAAATTTAATACCCTACTTAATATATTAAATTTTAATTTAATAAAATTAAATGTCAATATGATGTTGATTTAATGAAATTAAATAATAATTTAATGATAAATTGAAGAAATAATATTAATTTGATGAAATAAAATATTAAATTAATATAACTAAATGATAATTTGATAAAATTAGATATCAATTTGTGTTTATTTGATGAGATGAAATGTTAATTTAGTTTAAATTAAATAAATGACATTAATTTGATAAAATTAAATATTAAATTGATGAACCTAAATGCTAATATAATAGAGTACATTGAAATTTCAGAATTTAGGGGGGTATTATTAAAAATAGGTCTATTTATAAGGGTGTCATTGAAGTTATATCTATTTATAAGGGATGTGAATAAAAATTACACTATAAAATATTTAGAAGTTTTTTTGTAAATTAACAATTGTAGTTAACGCCGTTACCCGACAAACATCGACAAGGGGTGACAGTAAAGTTTCAAAATTGGGAGAAGGTGTCATTGAATTTAGATCTAATTACAAGAGGTGTGAATGAAATTTTCCCATTTTGTTTTTGTTAGAAATGGTGGTTTAATGGTAGAGGTGTTAATGATGTCTAAATATAAATTAGAAGGGGGTGGCATTGAGTTTTTTGATAATAGAGGGAGTGTCATTAAAGATATAATAAACTCGAAGGGGTGTAGTTGAAATTATCCCTATAAAATTTTAAATTTTTGGGAAAACTTCATCCACACCCCTGCAGTTATGTCCATCTTCCATGACGCCCCCCCTGTATTACCTACAAATTCACTGGTATCCCTGATCTGCTTACATGTTAACGGAGGAGATTGTTTTACAAAATACCCTTTAATATTCTACACGTATTAAATATAGTATTTTTGTGAATATATTTTAAAGCCCTAAATTGACTATAGTTAAGTTAGTTAACCAAACATATATAATGATCCAACCCTAGTCTATTGAATCAAACTCAAATTATACAACTTGGGCTGAAATTCTAATTCAATTTTTTGATTAAAATTCAAAATCAAATTGAATACCGAAAACTTGAGACCTTAACTCAGGTAACATTTGATTTTAAATTAGATTGATTTTTTTTTTGTCTAGCTTAATTAAAATATTAAAAACTCTCTTTAAATATCTATATAATAAAGTAGTTAGATTATTTGTCTTGAATTTTTCGCGGCTCAGATAATTTGAGAATTATTGATCTGACGATGATAATTGGACTTTCATTTATTTCATAATTCTAAGTCTTTCATATCTCATATAACTCTTTTTCTCTCTCTATCTCATATCTCTTTTAAATATACTATATATATCCTATCTCTTAAATGTTTTGAATACAGTCTCTTAAATGCACACTCTCTCATCTCTCGTCTCTCATATAATTTTATCTCTCTCTTACAGACACTCTCTCATCTCTCATATAAAATTACAACAAGGCAAAATTAATCCAATATTCATCTATTTAGATCCAATTGTCACTACAACAAAAATTATTTTTTATGACTTTTTCAGTTCTTCGCAAAAAATATACTATCTGTGACAATTTTATAATTTTATTGCAAATACCTATTGTAGTAATTGTTGTCACGACAATTTTTTAAGTGTGTCGTGAAAGGGCAATTCCATCCCTTTATTTTGGCATAGGAAATGGCGGAAAATGGCAATATTTTTATGACAAAACTTTTTTGTCACAAAAATAAATAATTAAAAATTAAAATGAATTTATTAATTAGCAACGTGTTTATTGTCGTCACAAAATATAAATTACAACTAAATTTAAAGTTAAAATAAAATAAAAATATAAAATTGCAATGCTTTTAT